TGTCTATAATATTACTAATAGTCCTTGTTCAAAAAGTGCCATAAAATTACATGGAAAAATAGTCTTGCTACCAATAATATAGATAATAGCATTTCTAATATTTTAAAAAGGGTCCCTTCCTTTATTTCAAATTTAAATGATCGTGGTCAAAACAATTTATTCTCAAATAATTGGGCAAAATAACTTAATCTTAGGTGATCACATGTTTTTACCTATCCATAGGACAGATAGAACTAATATCTGTCCTAAATATTTTGAAGGGAAAGTATTAAAAATTGAACAAAATAAAATATGGGTAAGAACGTGTGCTGGAAGGATATCAACACCATTTATTGCCTCTAGTCTATAAAAAACTATGAAATTAAATGATTTTGGAGTTCCCAACAAAGATATATCAATCATAGGTAATTTAAGCTATTTTTATAGTAACCACATATACTCCCCAAATTAATTCATGTATATAAAATATATTTATTTTTTATTTCAACTAAAAATATTTAAGAACTTCACGGGAAAATAAGGTGCGAGTGTTTCAAGAACAACTTTAAATGTTCAACGAAATGTCATTGCATTGAATAATTTGCAATTTTTTTAATTAGGATTTTTAAAAATATATATTCATGTGAAAATATTTATGATTTTATATAAATTTACAAAAACAAAAATGTCTTCCTAACCTTATCCCTTTTCTAAATTATATGCCTTAATTTTATACTATTTACTTTTTTAAACATTCTTTTTAAATCTCTTATTTTAGAATTTTAATTATATCCCTTTTCATAATTTATTTTATTATAATAAATAAAATATAAGAAAAGAAATATAATCATGTGGATTCGAAATAGTTTTTACTCGAATCCCCACGTTGGGATTCCGTATCCCAATACTACATATATATGTATAGTTTTAAATTATTAATATGTATATTTAAAATAAAGATGCTAAGATTTTTTAAAAAAATTAGAAACTGTTTTTCATGCTTTAGAGGCAGGACTTTATAATAAAATGTATACATTTTTTTAAATGACGTCTAGGAACTAAATTTAGAAGGTGCTCAAATAAATTTTTTTTAAAGTTGATTAAATCCAGTTTCGAGTTTACATGCAACCCTTTGCCTAGCCTTCTGATGAAAAGATTTAGCTGACCTGTTTCCATTTTTTGAATATTTAACGAATATGTTTGAATGCTTAGTTTATAGTCAAGTTTAATGTAGGCAGGGAAAATTAGATCATATAAAAAATATTTCGTGGAATATTATATGATGATCATTAGTGATGTTAAGCAGTTACCTGTAACTAATTACATTTTGGCTAAAAAATAACTGTTAACTAGTTATATTTTTAAAATTGTAACTAGTTATAATTTTTGAAATGCAACTGCCAAAAGTAACTAGTTACTTTTAAAGATATATTCAAATAATTAATTTTATTTTTAATATGTTGTGGTAAATTAATTTTAAATTAAATTTATTTTTTAAATTAAATTTATTAATTTAAAATTTTGTGAAAATGTCTGATTGTTATAATTTCCCGTTCAAATTGATTTTCTTTTCTTAAATTGTTACATTGCTGCTGGGCTTCATAATTTTGTAAGCAAATTCAAGTAATTTAATAAATTTTAATATTATATTTATTTACAAATGTAGCACAATATATTTTTTTCCGTCAAGTAACAAGCATTGGAACTTCATATACGTAATATAAGGAAAAACAAAGACAGATTATTTTAGAATTTAATATTAAATTATTAATCATTACTTACAAGAACCAAGTCTAACAAAAATATCATGTTATAGGTTTAATAATCTTTATGATAATGACAACATCATTGCTGCAATTCTTCACCCTTTATTTAAAACTGACTGGCCTTGGATTAGGCAAGAAAGGAATAAAGCAAAAAAGGAGGAAATTTTAAATTTAATAAATACCTTAAAGTGAATCCCAGACGAATGAATCATGCTCAAAACCAACATCACTTGATGTAGTTGGATTTTTTGACCTAAAGCGCCAAAATATTCTGGATAATGAACTTATAGAAAACTTTATCAAATCTAATAACAACACTTTTTCTTTATATAACGATTTTCCAAAGTTAAAATTACTCTTTATTAAATATAATGTTGTTCTAACATCAAGTGCTCCCGTAGAGCGCTTGTTCAGTCTAGGTAAGCTCATTTTTGGAGATAAACGAGCACGTCTCCTAGATAATAACTTTGAAATTAATTTTTTGTTAAAAGCAAATAAACATTTATTAGATTCTAATTTTTATGAAAAATAAATGTTTTTTTTTCAATGCAAATATATATTTTTATATTCGTTGTAAATATTCAATTTTGAGATATTTTTTTATATAAATAAATTGTATATTATTTTAAATAACTGATTATACTTTGTTTATCCTAATTTTTTTTATATTAAATAAATACATTCGATAAATAAATAATGCGCATATGAATGATGTATAAAGTAAGTAACTAGTTACTTTTGAAAATAACTGTAACTAATAACTAGTTACTTTTGTAAAAATGTAACTAGTAACTGTAACTAGTTATGTTTCAAAAGTAACTTTTAACATCACTAATGATCATATACCATTTGACTATTAAAATAATTATAATTTTATGTTGGCGACTAAAGAAAAAATTGTAAATATCTCTGAATAAATAAATATTTTATAATATGAATGTCATAGGTAATTCAAATTAAACAAAATATATATAAATAGTGATACAAGAGTTAGTGAATGATTGAATATAAATGGTAAAAGGAAAAGAGTAAAAAATGGAAACCAGAATATAAGATATAGGAAAAAAAATGAGCCGATTAATAAGATTTTAAATACATTCATTGGGGATATGCTGATCTATTTTTTATGACTAAATTTTGAATTATATTGTGTTTGCGAATTTATTGGAAACATCCAGGTTAAACACTTTATTATTAGATTCATGTGGACATTTAGTTATTAACATTGATATATCTTTATCGCATTTATATATTATTTCAAACCAATATATTAATAAAAATTTAGAATAAATAAATGATTAACTTAGATTTGTTTCTTTATAATATAAATATTAGAGACTTGTAGAGATAAAAAGCTGTGAATTTTTATTTACTTTTAGACCTGGTTCGGGATTTTTTGACCCAGACAAGATATTTCTTTTGATCATTTTGAAGTTAGAAAATAAAGTATACGTTTAAGAGACCGCCAAAAAATGGAGGGATGATCAATTACAAGTAGGTCTGTGCCGATCCACATATTTTTCACCAATATGATATTTTCCGATATTGGTTCAAAATCGATCCGATATTTATATTGTTTTTTTACCACCCCCTTTGAACCAAATGAAATTAAAAAATCAATATTTTTTATGCAAAATATCGTATTATGTATTTAATTTAATTTTTTTATTTCTACAATAATTAAAAAAAGTTTAAGGATATTGGTAGTAATAAATGAAATTTTCATTATTCCTCCCCGTGAAATTAGAATTTCGCAAATAATGCATTTTGCAAAATTATCTTTGTCTTTTTTAAAATATTTCCATACCATAAACAATTCTTTTATTTAGAGTATAAAATTGGCGTTATTATTTAAAAAGATTTAAATAAAATAAAACTTTGGGTGTTCCCTTCTATTTTTATAAAAAAAATAGTTAAAAAAAATAAAATTTAAGGGGTGTTGTGCATTTGCATTTTTAAAAAAAATTATTTAGAAAATATCATTAAGGCTGCGTCCAAAATAATAAAAATTTTAAAAAATAAATTTTGAAGAAGAAAATAACATAAGCTATTTTTAATGTAAAAATAAAATGGGGTCCAATTTTATTTTTCAGTATTTCTAAAAATTTATTTATTAGTGAAATTTTATAAAAAAATTATTAAGTACAATTTTTAATGCTGTTAATTTACCCAAACGATTATAGCCTTTTATATTAATATATTATTTAGTGTCAGAATATAATTTTATGGAAAGCATAAGAGTGCACGAACCTCTGCAAAAATGACTTAATTCAGATTCTGTAGAAAATAGTAAAATTTTGGAGGAAATAATAGGAAAAAGGATAACTTGAATTATGATCAAGTGAAGATTTTTTTAGCTGTAAAGTCTAAATTTAATAAATTATATTCTTTCACTAAACAAATCTGGTAAAAATAAAAATTATATTATAATTTTATTTAAAAGGTATATGTTGAACAATATATATGGTTAAAAGAAAATATTGATGATATTACCAAATAAATTTTATTAGGCTGCATAACCCTAGAGTTATTAATATAAATATTCCTATTCCTACTTTTAAAACATATTATATTATTTCTATTACAATTTTATTTTATGACTCAAATATAATAATTTATATATATTTTATGGAACAAAATAAGTTATTATTGGTTTTCCAACTGTTTATTAAATTTTGATATAATTATTATAAAATAATAGGTTCATACAAAATTTAATAACTGAAAGGTAATATAAAATAATAACATTAAATATTTACATATCTTTTAATTAATAATTGAATTATATCAAGCATTTTGAATATTTTAATTTTTTTAAAACTTAAATGTATCCGAAGTGTTGTTATTAATTTGCAAAAATTTTAAGGATTTTTTCAAAATATACATAAAAAGAAGAAAAGTAAAAAAATCGGTTTGGTTTTTACAGGTATCTGCCCAATCCGATATTTTTGGAAAAGGCGAAATATCGGTGCCGATCCGATATTTAATATCGGCACAGCCCTACTTACAAGAACCTTAACCTAATAAATGATAGAAAACGTCGGGAATAAGAATGAAGGGAACCAAAAAATTTAACCATTCTTGTGAATGATACATCTCAAGATTTAAAAAAATTTATGAGTGAAATTTTATTTTTGGAAAGCTGTGTTTATTTTATCTGTTTTCAAAAAACTTTTAGAAAATGTCTACTATACATTCATTATTTTTTATGTATTTGAATTTATAAAACAGGTTTTACATATTATATAAACAAAGCGTTAAAGGAATAAGAACTGTTCAATGGTACCCAATAGATAATGGAATATTTACAACTAGTGGAGTACAAAATAAGGTGGAAATCTGGGATACCACCAGGCAAAAATCTGTAGAATCTTATACCTTTGAATATCCTATAAACAGTCATAATATATCTAGGATTTCATCCAATAATCCATTAATAGCAGGTATCCTATTATAAAAAATAATATTAATATTTGCAAAACTTTTAAATCAATTACATTTTATTCTGATTGGTTGTGTTTATTTTTTATTATATATGTTGATATATTTTATAGATCTATCTCGCTTTTATCCTATTTTAATTGTTTTATTATTTTTGAGGTAATAAGGATAAGATATCTTAGTGAGAAAAAAGCCCATAATATTTAAAAAAGGAATTGTATAAGCCCATAAAGATATTCTCGAAAAAATCCAAAAAATTTAAAAAAAAACTTCAAAATTATGAATACCTATGCTTAAAACAAAACTCGTGGGTTTAAATCCAAATCAGCAAAAATAATTTTAAAAAAACATCTATACAATATTAATTAAAAGTTTAATTTAATAATATAAATTGAACCTAGACTAGATATTTATATGGAATACAAAGGTTTATAGTTGAAGTTTTATTTAAACAAATTGATCCTGAATATTTTGTTATCCCTCACTATATCCTTGTTTAATTTTTATAAGTTAATTTATCCGATTATAATTTACTAGTGTAATATTTTTTTATTCACATATATTTTATTTTCCTTATATTAAAATATTTTAAGATTGTAAATCGAACATAAATATAAAGGGGTGGGGATGTTTATGACTAATCACCTGCGGCGATCGAGTCGATGAATCACACATTAGCTTTGAGCATTACCATCTCATAAGTGTAGCGAAAGAAGGGGATGGAAGGGTTCCCCACTAGGGAAATTTACCTTTTCCTTAAATATCATTTTAGGCTAAGGCTAATAAAAATATCTTCCCCCCAAAATATGGTTAATGTTAAATATTGCCAAGTTTACATTTAAAAAAAAACAACTTAATTTGCTAATCAATTATTTTTTAAAATTCAATAAAACACATTTTTCGTATATTAAATGATGGAAACGCGCTTTAACAACCGATCTACTATATATCATTCCTACTAGAAAGTGTTATCAAGTTGGCTTCAGGAAAAAATATTCTTGTGGATTCGAACCAGCGTCTACATGAGCGGGAGGGGTAGGAACAGTTTGCATCCTATTTTTTTGAGGGGGTAGGGGTAGGCGGCTTTAATGGGGGCAGGATAAATTTTTGGGGGGATTATCTATTGAATTTTGAGATGAAATAGGACAAATTTATTGCTGTAAAAATTAATACTTTTATTATAGAACTATTATAATACAATTCATTGATTAAATCTATATATTGCAAACAATTATACATATTGTTTTCCAAATAAAACTTTCTGCTATTTTTTTAAATTACATTTAAAAGGTTTAGATATTTCAGCAAGCTCATAAAGTTATAATAATAAATTCATTGCAAATAATGGAGGATTTAATTGAATTTATTATCTAAAAAATAAATCCTTTAGAAATTTTTTTAGGGGGGTAGGCAAAGGTTTTTGAAGGGAATTTGCATCCAGTGAAAATCCTGTCATGTAGACGCTGATTCGAACCCAGAACTATTGTAGCATTTATATGATAAAGAAATAGGCATATCGTCGGCTTAATATTATAATGTTCTTTATCCACCTTTTTTTGATAGATCAATTCTTCAGTACTCCATAACAACAATAAAAATGCCAAAATATAATTGACATTATGATCTGCTATCTAAAATACAATTTTTTAAAATGTTCTAAAAAAGATATTAAGCTTGTTAAACATGGCATGACAGAACCCTTGGTCATTCACTACCAGTTTTTGGATGCCTAACCTCGAAGAACTCGTATCCCCGATCCTTTATAAGTTATTAAATGTGGATCTAACTCAATATGAAAATTAGATAAAGATAATCAACGGAGTTTTTCATCACTGGTAGATTAATCTTTCTGTCTTGTAGGATTCGGAAATTAGTTTGTTCTTAGGACAGACATCATCCATTCATTTCTAACCATACTCAAAAAAAAAGGATCGGGACTGATATACTAATGTTGAACTATCGTGACATTTTAAGATTTCACTATTATAACTTATTAATTTATATAGTCGCAACAAATAGAATATGTCTAATAGATATGTTAAGTGGATCTCAACTACAAACATTAATAGGTGGTCATAAGAGTGAAGTTAAATTAATCCGATGGTCGAATTTGTACCATTATTTAATTGTTAGTGCCGACGACAAAAAAATGATTTTATGGGATATCAGACGAGGTAAAAGATTTTTGCACTCAATCGATATCCGCCCCTATAGTAAATATTAAATTTTTATAAATTATATAAGAAAAAATGGTAGTACTTTTATTAACAAATTAATAAAGGTCAGTTACTTTATTTTTAACAATCATATTCTTAAGGATTGATCTTTAACAATAATACAAATTGTTATATAAGACATATGTCTATTGTTTCAATATTTTATTACCCTTTCTAAAAAAAATCTCTTTATTTATTTTTATATAATTTTCAAGACGAAAACATACCTATTAAATTTTACAAACGTGTTAAATTATATAAATCAGATCATTCAAAACCCTGGGTACAAGGTTTAGAATTTGGAAAAGATTGCCACAAGATTGGTATGTTAAACAGCGATGGAAAACTATATACATACGACTTGTTGAATATTAATACCGAATCAAACGCCATAAATTTTGATGTAATTATATTTTAGATTAAATTTATTTATAAAATATTATAGAATATTATAGGGAAAGATCAAGAAAAATTATTGAAAAGATTTATAATTGCTGATAATTCCTATATCGTTCCTTTAAAAAATAAAATTATTAAATATAAAGTTGATAATGATGCATTTAAAGAATTTAAAAATGCACATTTCGGTGATATAACTAACTGCATTGCACATCCTATTAATGATGGCATCTTTTACACTTCATCGTTAGATGCGAGTATCCTCGAATGGTCAATACAAAATATATATTAAAAATAGAATTATATAAAGCAAGGAATTATATATCATTTATCAATCAAATATTGATCTAATACATTGATTTGTGATAATATGCTTGAAGTGCCAGTTCCGCCGATAGCCTTATATTGTTCCACACTATTAACGTAATTCCAAATATTTATAACGTCTTTTTCGAAGAGAGGACTTTCGTTTTTTTTAAATAACAAACAATAAAAATATAGTTATCAAAATCTTTAAACCTCATATCGAATTTAAAGAATAATGACAAATAAATTGTGCAAAATATTTATACGGGCCCGGATGAAGTTTTTATAGTTTTAGAGCTAATAATTAAGCAATTTATGTCGTTTTCCTTTTAAAAGGTTATTATGGGTCCGAACAACCTATAAAAAATAAATTTTATGGACCGAGTAAAAATAATCAGGTCTGGTCGAAAAACCTGTTATGAAATTTCCATGGGCTGGTTTGGACCATGTCTACTTCATTAACGGGTCATTATTTTATAATTTATAAAAATGAACTTTGATTTATTTTAAATTGAACCCTTTGTTTTATCTCTTTAATATTTTATAAATTAACTTTTATTTCTCATTTTCATCTATTGAATGTTCAAACTTTGATGGCACCAATTATTACAGTATCGGACATGCTTAAATTTATTTTGTCTTATATTATTTGTATTTTAAATACTGAAAAATAAAAAGTCTTCTTCTCCATTTAATGGCGATTTCCAGGTTTACCCAGGTAGGCCAGTTTGTTTTCCCTTTGATTTTATCTTGTATTTATTACTTGACACAAATGTACTACTAATATGTGCCTCAAAGTCAATAATTAAAGCATTCTTCGTTTAGTATCCCTTTTTTAGGTTTATCCGGGTATGCCAGTTTCCCTTCTAATCCCCTTTCTCCACCACGGACCTGCGTCACTGCCACTTGGTTAATCTTAGCATTTCATGTCATTATCTACCACTTTCACACCTTGTCTTTGTCCATGACCAAATTAAAGTATTAACTAGTTTTATCACCATTCTCTTGAAGCAACATATACTAAAGAATTATTCATAGTTAAAAATTTTCAACTAAGAACCATTCAATCTAAAACTTTATTAATATCATTAGTATTATTTAACAGCTCAGATCGACCGCCAAACTCGAATCATAAAAACTCAATAAGCGACATAATGAGCCACAATGGTTGCCAGAATTTTATCAAATAATGACATCAAATCAAAAAAATATTTTATCCATCGTCTTAACACGCTCTTTGGTTCAGCAATATTTATGAAGTAATTGTCATTAGAGATCTGCAAAAGTATTCTTTAAAATATATTTCGATTATCAATTTTATATTGAATTTTTTATGTAAAATAAAAATATTTTATTTTATTTATAGAACTAGACGCCATATTAGTGTTGTTAATTGGTTGGTTGTGTAAAACCCAGACCCGGGGTTTGGGTCTAAAAAATCGACCAAACCAGCTCTGAGACAGACCCTGGTCGTGTTGTTGTGACGATTAATAAACATGTTGATTAAATTTTTAAAAAACCCATTGTTGAGATAAAAATATTTTGTTTGTAAAAATAAATTAAATTCCACTTGCGCAAATAAATGAGAAAGTTTAATAAAATATAGGAAAAAGTTATTGATCAATTTTGACAATAACTTTGGCAAAAATTAATATTTTTTGATCTAGTTTTTATTTATATATATATATTGGGAATAACTAAGTTATTATCCACTTCTAACTCAAAAATTTTGAAAATGTCGAGTGGACCACTCCAATTCTAGACCGACGATATATAAAATCTTCAATTTACACTTTTTATAAAAAAATAATTATATAATGAACTTAACTTCAAAAATATAAATATTTTTAAAATTATTATTTTCTTAAAAAAATTATCTAAGTAATAAAAAATAAAAATTAATGAACAACTTCAAAAATATTAAAAAAAACGCATCAAGTGACTTTGCCATTTTTTATCACAAATTATAAATTTTCAACATAATTTATTTTTATTATTTATATATGAACGAAGTAACACTTCACTAGATAATCTAATATATATAATCTCCATAATCAAAACATGATCTTTCGTATCTTTCTAATATATTTAAAATTTAAGGAGACTATATAGTGTAATTATTTTTTTGCTCTCTACGAGAGTCGAACGCAAGCCTCCCGTTTCAAAGTCGTATGTTTTAAGCATGCACCAACTTGAATATAATAAAATTTTAAATATTATACTAAATATACTTATTAATAAATTTTATATAAATATTAAAATATAGGAGAAAAAGAGGTTAAATTGTTCCAATGTATACCGTGAGCATGTATTAGAAATATCAAAATTTAAATTTGTGATGGAAATCATATTGGATAAAATATAAAATAGAAATGCTTCAAAATTTTTTAATTTTAAATATGGGCTAGGCCTGAAAATTTTTTTTGCAGAAATCCCCAGGCCTAATTAAAAACCAAACCCATGCAACTTTCATATTCTGAATATGTTTTATTTCAGTTCTCAACTAACAAAATTATCATGGTCTTTGGCGGGCTTGAGAAAATTTTCCCAACAATATAGTTTTCAGAGATTTACCTATCTCCAGGCTTGGGAAAATATTACAAAATTATTATGGGTTGGCCGGGTTTGAGAAAAAAAATTTCAGGCCAATGTCTGGTCCATATTTAAAATTAAAAAATTTTCAAGCATATCTATTTTAAATTTTACCCAATATGATTTCTATCACAAATTTAAATTTTATTCTAAATATAAAATTAAATTTAAGATATTGTCATTAAATTACAATAGAAATAAATGAAATATAAAAATTAAATTTAAGACATTGTTATTAAATTAAAATAGAAATAAATGGCAAAATTTTATGAAAGTTGCATGGGATTTGGTTTTTTGATCAGGCCTGGCTATGTCTGCAAAAAAAAATTTCAGGCCAATGTCTACCACATATTTAAAATTAAAAAATTTCCAAGCATCTCTATTAAATTTTATTCAATATGATTTCTATCACAAATTTAAATTTTATTCTAATATAAAATTAAATTTAAGACACTATTATTAAATTACAATAGAAATAAATGGCAAAATTTTGGGAAGGTTGCATGGGACTTGGTTTTTGATCAAGCCTAGCTATGTCTGCAAAACAAAATTTTGAGGCCAATGTCTAGCCCATATTTAAAATTCAAAAATTTTGAAGAATCTCTATTTTTAATTTTACCCGATATGATTACTATCACAAATTTAAATTTTGAAATATCCTTAATGCTCACGGGTTACATTGCAACAATTTTACCTCTTTTTCTCCTAAATTTTAATATAAAACATATTTAGTACCATATACACTAACTAACTAATTACCCCTCAACCCCGTCATTCTTGACGGGTTATTAGCTAGTTATATAATATTATGTTTTTGTATTATTTTATATTCTGCTTCAGTTTTAATATGGTTAAAAATATACGATTGAAGCGATGCGATGTTATTACGAATATAATTGAAAACAAATGTGTTTTTTATTATTTAAAAAAAAAAAAATAATTTTCATCAAATTTATAATTATAACTGTTCAATATAATACATTAGAGATCTGTAAAATTCCGGAAGGGCTTCGGGCCGGGCCTATTTTTTAAAAAAAATCGGGTTCAGGCTGGGTTGGGCCAAAAATTTAAAAAATAAATTCCGGCCAGGTCGGGTCGGGCCTTGGAAATTTTATTAAATATATCTTAATTTAATAATTTTATGTTGAATTTTTCAAGATTGAGTTTGATTGGGATATTTAGAATACTTTTGGATATTCGTTTTTATTTATAAGGGGAGTGGGATTATAAAAAAGAATCTTTTTCTCCTATCCAAAATATATAAAATTGCACTTTTTATAAGTTAAATTATCTGAAGTTTTTATTTTCCATTTTTTAAAACTTCTAGTTTTTTAAAGTAAAAAATGTTATTTTTATCTTAAAAATGGGTTTTATTTTTAATTTAATCAATATATTTAAGAAATCGTCACCCGAGTCTGCCTGAGCACATAAAAGGGTCGTAAAATTTACGACCAAGCAAATTAACAACACTACGCCATATAACATATGTCTTTTATTTTTTGAGTAATTATAAAAATTAATTTCTATATTTAAATAAAATTGGGCCGGCAAAATTTTTTAAAAAAATTTCGGGCCCTGGGCTTGAAAAATTAGGCCCGATGCAAATCACTAATTGTCATTAATTAAACATACTTTTAGGTATGATATAAATAGTGGTATTGGTCATAGTGAGACAGATAATTCAGCCAGAATAGGTATGAGCCTTTAATAAATGAATTTTTGATAACAAATCCCATCAGAGTTCCAAAAGATGCTCGTAATACTTAAAATTTTTGTCAAATATATTATCTACATTTGTAAAAAACTTCCTTTTGTACAATCACTCTGTTTATCGACGCAATTAAAAATCAATTATCCAAACAGACATTTGGTAGAAAAAATTCTAACATAATCAACCAAGATGATATGAATGCTACTTTTCGTCTTGACTTCTAATAATACCTTAACTCCTTTTTAATAATGAAAATAGACATCTTTGTGAGTTTGAGTGGTAGATTTGTGGAAATTATAAAATTATGTAATTGTTCAATGTGGTTTATCTTATTTTAATAGCGGTAGTCTCCCAACAATGTGGGAGATTTGGCAACCTCTTTCTTTTTGGGACAAAGGTTATTTGAAAAAATGGTGGTAAAATTCAGAAGTCAAGCGCGTAGCTAAAACTAGTTTATTTGGGAGTCAATATTTTTTGGGTGTTATTTTTTATAAGCCATTATAAATAAATTTGGAGTAAAAGTTTGGGGACCGAAAAATCTTTGAGAGGGCCAGGCCCTAAGTACTTGCAGATTGCTCCCCAACCTTGAATACACAAAAAATTTTATATTAAAGACTACACCTACCTATAATTTGTAAATAATACCTTTTTAGCCTTCTTCTCCCCTCTCCAGCCCCAGCTGAGGCAGGACTAGAGGTAAGCACTAAATAAACAATGGATAATATAAATTGAGTACTAATTTGATTATAATTTTAAGGCAAGATATTTAAAATTATACTAACTTTATGTTCTTTAAATCTTTCAAATCAATTTTGTCAATAGTTGTAAGATTTTTTTCCGCAAAATTCACTACTTTACCTGAGACATGGTGTGCATCTCGAAAAGGCAGCTATATCAAAATAGAATGTAAACATTTTTTTTAGTTATAATACAAATAAATAATTAAAATTTTTAATTTTAGCCAAAACGAAACATTTTAAAAACACTATGAAATTTGTAATTATTAATATAATAATTATATATATTTCCGAATCTGTTATAAATTAAATAGCAGAGATTCATTAATATCAAAATTTAAAAAAACAATATAGCTATATCTTTGTCCTCAATCAAGAAATGCGATTTTTATAATAAAAAATGATTATTTGACAAGTTTTAATTTAGAAATTGAGAATTTTAAGATTAATACCCGCAAATAAAAGAATTTTATTATTTTCTAATTCAAATTAGCCTTATCCATTATAATTTATCCCCATAGTATAACACCCCCAAAAGTTTTCTAAACGTTTTAAAGATGCTTTTAAAACCTATAAGACAGTTAAATATTAATAAAAACAACTTTTTGATAAATATTTCAAAAAGGCCCTTTTTTTTAAAAAAAATGGGATATTGATATGTATTTTAAAATAAAACAAGTTTTATAACAAATTTGTAGCCTAATCCCTCATTTATAAAATATAGTGCTTTAAAGTAACGGCATTACCTTTTTATAGATGTAACAAACAACGCCTTTCAATGGTAATGTAAAACGTTACTTTACATTTTTCTTAAAAATATGAAAAAAAACACATTTTATTGTATTATAAAATTACCTTTATTTATTTTTTAAATTTTATATATAATTTAAGCCAAGTTTTTAATTCAGATCAACCACCAAATTCCTTCATTTTTATTTTTCAGTCAAGATTGTTAATCTAATGAATATTGAGTCAATTATTAAACGGTTAACTAATATTTTAGTATGAAAGATATTGCCTCTGTGTGCCATCTAGGAGCAAAATCTTAAGGCTAATGTATATTCATTTGGATAAAATATTGAGTAGCCGTTTTTTAAAATCGGCTCAAAACGAGCCGTTTAACAACACTAGAATCAATCATGGTTTGCGAATTTATATTCTTATTATCTAGTACTGTAAACATTTCTAAAAATCTCAAAAAAAGGAATGCGTTCACGTTCGTTTAAAACTTTATGAATAATTTTTTTTAAAGATTTTTAATATAAATAAATAACATTTTTAACAATATATTCGCCATATTTAAAATAAATAGTTTTAAGCAGAGATCCAAACCGAAACAAATATGAGTTCGGGTTCGGATAAAAATAACGGTTCAAGGTTAGGTTCGTAAAAATAAAAATATCGGTTTGGTTCGAACTTCTAAAAACAATTTCACTTTGGTATTCAAGGCTACATTCGAATTATGTATAGGGTAAAGTATATTTTTTTAAATTTCATAATTAAAATAAAAAACATACATAAAACCTTCATTATTATTAATTGCACATTATAAAATAATATTTATTTTTAAATATAACGAATAAATATCAATAATTAATTATAATATGAACAATTTAACTTTATTTACTTAAAATTTTTTTAGCCGCACTTAATATATTTTCAAAATTGTCTCACTCAAATTACATCATAAGGAGATAATATAAACTTAATAGTTGAATAATATCTTTCCACACTAACTTGGATAGCCGGCACTGCTAGTATGATATCAGATTTTATGTGTCATTTATAATACCGGATGTAAATAATTTATATCTCTAGATTTAATTTATTCATGATAATTTAAAAGCTTAAAATATTTAAGAATGTTGTAAAATGGCAATATACTAAAGTTTATAAAAATTATGACTGACATTTATCAATCAAATGTGACTGATAATAATCTTTAAAGCAATTCGAATATAATTAAAATATTCTGCAATTTTATAATCATGAGGCTCGAACCGGTTCAGAGGCATTTTAGCGGTTCGGTTCAGGTTCGGCTAGAAATTTTTTAGCGGTTTAGGTTCGATAAAAGATACCGGATTTTAGCAGTTTAATGGTTCGGTTAAGGTTCGATTTGGATCTCTGGTTTTAAATGAATAAAAAAAATATTTTTGCTTATAAAAAATAAAATTTCTTATTTATTTTTAATAAATAAAAACTTATATCATATAAAATTTAATTATTTATAAAATATATAAATTTATAATACTTTATATCAGGGATCCATCGGTTCAGGTTCGGATAAAAATAATGGTTTAAGGTTCAGGTTAGGTTCGCAAAAAATAAAAATATCGGTTCGGTTCGAACCTTTAAAAACCGGTTTGAACACATTTGTATTCAAATCTACATTAGGATTATGTATCAGGAAAATTTTTTTATTTTATAATTAAAATAAAAACCATCATTTTTATTAATTGCACATTATAAAATAATATTTAATTTATAAATATAACAAATAAATATGTCAATGATTAATTTAAATATGAACAATTACTTAAATTTTTTTATTAAGCTGCACAATTAATATATTTTCAAAATTCGTCTCACTCAAATTACATCCTTCCACACTAACTTGGGTAGCTGGCATTGCCAGTATGATATCAGATTTGATGTGTCATTTATAATACTATATGTAAATAATTTATATATTAGATTTAATTTTTTTCATTATAATTTAAAAGCTTAAAATATTTAAAAAATATTGCAAAATGGCAATACACTAAAGTTTATAAAAATTATGACTGACGTTTATCCAATCAAATGTGATTGATAATAATTTTTAAAACAATTTGATTATAATTAAAATATTTGCAATAATTATGAGACTCGAACAGGTTCAGAGGCATTTTAGCGGTTCGGTTCAGGTTCGGCTAGAAATTTTTTAGAGGTTTAGGTTCGATAAAAAATACAGGTTTTTAACGGTTCGGTTTGGATCCCTGCTTAATATTGCGTTTAATTCTTAAAATATAAAACCCTTGATAAAACTTATAAATAAGTGAATTTCAAATAGTCACACTAAAAAAAAATTCTAAATATTATATAGACTATTTATATCTATGCATATAATATTTGATGATTTTTATTTTATGTCCATTATAATAATTTAATAAGCCTATGAAATACAACAATCTAAAATAAATTATTAACAGGATACTTTATATAAAATAATAAATATTGTCATAATTGAAAGTAAATATTTGTAAAATCATCATTGGTAGGCTTAGATTTATAAAATTTGATTTTTGGTGAAGTCTTTATGTATTGCGTTTTGTGAGTTATTTTCAGAGTTGTTAAAGTAGCGCGCTAACATTTTTGGTAGCTATAGCTAATAGCGGCTACTTTTTTTGTAATTATTAAATTTTTAGCGGGCTACTTTTTTTGAAAGTAGCCGCTACTTCGCTACTTTTAAAAAATATAATGAAGGTAAGTATAAACATGAAAATTTAAATATAATATCATAATTAAATATAATATCATAATTTTTATGATTTATTATTTAATTTTGAAATTGAAATATAATTTCAATTTGTAATTTATATTTTCATTTGTATTATAAACCTAAATCACGTGTTAATAATTTAAAATGTCATCGCCTATGTATATCCACAGACAATGATATTAATGAAATGGAAGATACCAGGGAAGAAAATGTTCTTAATAGCTATAATACAAATTTCCCATTCCCCAGATTTGAAAATTTTTTAAAATAAATATATATAACCAAAACTGGTTTCAAATTTATTTGTTTAAAATGTAAAAAAAAATATTTCCTCAAATCAATCCAGTAGCTATACCCTCAAGAAACACCTAAAGGTAAATTGTCATTTTTACATTCTAATAATATTTATTTTATAAGACTGTTCATGAGTTTTAAGAAAATGGAGAAACATCTAAATAATTTTGGTATGACTCTACATCCAAAAAGACTAATTCAAACCAAATTAATTAATAATGCAAATGACAATATTTCTCAGAAATTGGCTGATAAAGTTATTGTTGATTTTATAATTTATACAGTTCAGCCAATGTCCTTAGTTGATAATCCATCATTTACCATGATGATTAAAACTCTATCCCCTGGTACAACAATTTTATGCTGCCAGACACTAATGAATAAAATAGCAGATAACTTTAAAATGATGAAAGATGCTCTAATAATAGTTATCAGAGATATCATATATATATGTAGCACGGAAGATAGTTGGACACATAACAGAAGGTAAATCTTATTTATATTTATAAATTGATCTGATTAAATATTTTTGAGCTTATTTGGGAATCACAGGCCATTGGCTAGACCCTAGGACTTTAAAAAGAAGATCTATGGCATTAGCCCTCAAAATAATAATAGGATGCCAGAGATACGATGTACTTGCAAATAAAATTATTGATAATCTATCTTATACTAAAAATATGTGTATAAGATTAAATACGCCCTTACCCTCAAGTGTTAGTGTCGAGAGTAAGGCAAAACTTATACTTTCTGATAGTCGCTCTAGACTTGGGGATGATAATATTGAAATGATTTTATTATTAAAATGTAACAATTACCATAAATATTTATTTTTATTACATAAATTTTTTTATAATCAAAACTAACTATATTTTAATATTTATAAATGTTGATTTTTATATATTTACTATACAATAACGTTATAAGCAAAAAATAAAAAATTTGTTTGGAAATTTTTTTTATAAAAAGTAGCTAAAGCTACTTTAAAAAAATAGTAGCTAATAGCGAGCTACTTTTTTTGACAAATAGCGATAGCGGTAGCGCGCTACTTTTAAAAGTAGCGTTTAACAACTCTGGTTATTTTATTTGATATAATTTTTTTAGATTTGTAAAATTTGATTATTATGAAGTCATTATATATTGCGATTTTTGAGTTATTTTTATTTGATATAATTTTATTTTTTCTTTTATTCTGATTTTCAGCAATGATAATAATTTTTTTATAAAAATGTATTTTTAACTTGAGCTTCTCTATAAAAGGGAAGCGAATTGTAATATAATTGATTCGTTTTTTTCCCTTTTAAAATTATTATAATTTTGCTTCCTTTGTGATTAATAAAAGATTTGTAGCAATATTGTAATATAATTCTCGGAGTAATATTCAGGAAAGAGGCGTACAACGTAATAAATATCACAATCAAGTATCTCCTTAAATTAGAACTTGAATATTTTGAAACTGATATTATAATTTTTGGAAACATTTTACATTTAAGCCATAGTAATGTTAATTCACCTATTTCTGAATTTTCAGAAACAGATGATAATGAAATAATAGAGCTAACGCTAATTTAAAAAAATATAATTAATAATATTCAAATTAATAAACTATATAGTACAGAAATAGTGGCTAGCTAAAAAAACTCTAATGTGATAAAGGAAACAGTTGATTAAAAAAACATTTATTTCTTAAAAAATTCGGATTAATATTTTTTATTTTTAAATGTATAAAAATAAGATTTTCTAAAATTGAACGAATGTAAAAAACGAACGCGTTCACGTTCAAGTTAGTCAAAAGTAAAAGGAATGCCGTTTATCATTTATTTCTGAACGCGTTCATTTACAACATTATTATCTAATATTATAATTTATTATATAAAGAGCATTGTGTCAATAGTACTTATTTATTCAGATGATTTAACCATGCCCTGACTCCAATGAAACATTTTTTTACACCAATAAAGAAAATTAAGTGTACAAAGTTTACACTATGTATGTGTAAATTGTGTCCCAAATCAAATATTTCAGGAAAAATTGTGGAAGCAGCCATTGGAAGAAATGGGAAGTTATCTGATTAAACCTGTTATGACAAGATGGAACTCTTTTTATAACTCCGTGTAGATAGTCCTATTAAGGAAAAAAAAATTAAGTAACGTTTTGCGCTATCATTACTAAAGAAATGCGTTACTCGTTACCTTTTGAAAGGTAATGAATTACGTATCTTTTCCTCAAATAGGTAATGACGTTACTTTACAGCATTCGATTTTCCATCTAAAAAATCAATTCAAATTAAAAATTTAAAAAATATATGATAAAATTGAGCAGTATTAAAATAAAGTATAGTTTCATTTTAATATTTCATTTTGAATATTTTTATTAAGCCACAAATAAATTATAAAGCCATTTATTATTTTAGGAAATTCTAATTTCACTCAAAGAATAATTTACATATTATGTTTAGAAATTTTACCTTTAATATAATATTTTACAATAAAATCTTATTAAAAATCTTTACTCCTTTATTAACTAGATAATATGCTAGGTCTGTTGCTAACATATCTGGCGATAAGGCATTGTAACATCTATCTTCATTTACCTATAAATATCAAAAAATTTAATTATCACAAATAAAAAAAACAGAGCAAGCCCGTCAATGGTAGGGAATCATAAATGATAAAGAATAACAAATGGTAAAGAATCATAGTTTATAAATGGAAAATAATATGACAAAATTAAGTCAAAGATTCCATCGAATTCAGCAATGAATAAGTACTCGACATAAAACAATCAATACCTTAAAAAAAGATTCTCAATAAAGCTGGTTTTTTATCTAGACTAAACTCTTATTGTTTAAGTCAACAGATGTAAGACCAGACCATATAAGATTATATCATACGGATAAGGCAGAGGATGTGATGTGCCTTGTATTTTATACATGTATTAACGCTTTTGTGGTCAGCTATTCCCTTCTTCATAATATTAAAACGGAATATGTAAATCTAGTAAATATTTTTTTGTATTTTTTCATTCTCATACCCTTCAATTTTAAACAAATACAATAAATTTTTTAAAATTGTGGTTCGTAATATGAAGTCCAAAATAGGAAATCCAAAGAATGTGTTTATCTTCCGATAATAGTCATTTATACATATATTTGAGTTCTTTTCAAAACGCAATGCCTAACAATTAAAAAAAATCTTATTTTTATATTTAGTTGTGTATACAAATTGTAACGTGTAGCATGCATGGGAGTGATTAGCATCCTTTTGCTCATCCTTATCGATATAACAGATCTTTCTCTCATAAATAGTAAAAAAATTAGTTATTACGTTGCCGTTTTTATTTTTAGAGCTCTATATGGAAGTTGAGCAAATATAAATTGATTTAAATATTTAGTCTTCTTACAAGATTGAAAAAATAGGTAACAAAAAAATGAAAGTAAAATATTATAAGTAAAAGAAAATAATGGTCAAGGCCAATTATATAAAGCCACTTCAAATTTTGAAATTAAAAAAGAAGGTAATTGCAATGTTAAATTTATTAGTTAATTCAGATTCGAAGATTAAAACCTGACCTATATAGGGTTTCATTTTTAAGTGATGCTAAAGCTAGAACGGCTTGCCCAGAATTTTCGTAAGGGGAAGGGAAATTTTTTTTGAGTGACCTTTTCTATAAATTTTATTGGATATCTTTAAATCCCTTATTAGGACTTCGGCCGGATTACATTTAACAAAAAAAATTTGGTTTGACATGTCGAAATATGGTTTATGATGGCATATTGTACTCAGTACTCATTTATTGGGGGGGGGGGGGAGGGGGTGTTGAGTTTAGGGGCTTTTATATTTTTCGAATAATATTTATAAAAACTGGCAAATTTGTCAAGCCCCCCCCCCTACGATTATGACAATGAGCTATGAATTTATTTATATTTAATTTAAAAAATGGATATTAAATACCTCAAATGCATCTATGATACCGACCATAATTTTTAACGAGGACAATAAAATATCAAAGGAATCGAATAAAAGTCTTTTATCATCTTGCAAATCTTTATTGTATGTCGACGGCAATCCTTTTAATATTACTAAGAGGGCGTTACAATTAGAAATTAAAATAGCGCTTTTCCCCCTGATCAACTCTAAACTATCAGGATTTTTCTTTTGTGGCATCAGACTACTACCTGTTCTATAATTTATTTAATAAAATTTAATATACACATTATATGTCATTTAAATATATATATTTACAAATCCTAGTCTTTCATATTCTACCTTTACAACAAATTTCTTCTAACAATTTTATCATCATATTTTCGTTTTTTTTAAATTACCATATTATGCGAAACACTATATAATTGCATTTTTCTTCAAATTATTTAAAATTATTTATTATAAATATTTTTTATTCTAAAAACGTATCTTCTTTTATTCCCAATTCAATCAGTTTTTATAATCTTATTTAAAACATTTACATTTTTTATTCATACAAATTAAAGGTAAGGTTAGAAATGGGTGGGGTATAAAAATAACAAAATGATAAAAATTTATGAGTATTTATGTTTATAAAAAAATATAGATATATTGGTAATAGTGTTGTTAAAAAATTCTATTTGGGTTGATTTTTCAAACCGGCCTGATTAAGATTTTAACTAAAATAAATTATGTAAGTATCAAATTTGGCAAATAGGTGTCTAAGCATTTCTGTCAGCTATATGCATAATCTTTAGGCTTACATGTTATTTTGGTTATAATCTCAATCGGGCGGTTTTTTAAAATCGACCTGAATCGGACTTTTTAACAACACCAATTAGTAAGGTTCAATAAGTGAAGAAAAAATATAACTAAAAAAGCTATATTTTTTGAGCAGTAAATTAATAAAAAATTGTCAGTATTTTTATTAGCAAAGAATTGATTATTTTTGATGATCAAATCTCTTTTTTGTAAGATACAAAAAATTATATTAATCATTAATAATTTTTCCTCTTCTTCATTTTGGAATATTGGTCTAAATATTTCGAAAATAATTCTTGGCATACTCTTCGGTCATTTCTCTAACTCCATGTTCTAAAAAAATTGTCAATTCCTGTTCATTTAAGTATTTAAAATTCTAATAACATCTTCCCGATGAATAGGATTCAGATATGAACTATATGCCGCTTAATACTTTATTATATGTCATTGTCTCTAATTTGATTCTTTAATTGCCCTATTATAACGAAATGTGTCATTATCCATCATAAAAACATGTTATTTTATTGAAAGTGAGTTAATTCATTAACAAAATTTATAAGAAATAAAAAAAATGAGAAGAAAAAAAATTAAGAAAATATGACAAAAATTTAAAAAAATGAGATAAAAGTAAATAGAGGTGGGGTGGCAAGTTAGAAATAAGATTAAAAATAACCAAAAATTAAGGAAACCCCCAAACATTGACATTTCAGGATTATTAAAATTTGGACATGTACCATCACATTTGTGTATCAAATAGAATTGTCCAGTTGAGTTAAAGGGTATGTATGGCCTAAATTGCATACATAACCATAGGGAGACACCAGAGTCATACAGCAATTAATCATGTTATTTATTGAGGCTTATAAGCCGCACATATTCCCAACCATTTCGAGCCCATCAACTTATCGGGCGTAGATCGAGTAAGACCTGATTATGACAACTATACGGGCCCTTAACAAATCAGTAGTATGGGACTATGTTTGAGTCTTTTCACTCCCTTCAAACGTATAAATCTGCTAACCCAAGTTGAAATCAAAAATATTTAAAAATATAAAGATCTAAACAAATTTCATTTCTACTCTTTATCGCCAATAACATTCAAGTTTTTGAAAAATTTTTCGTGGGAAAATTATATTTTACCAACGAAGCCAAAGAATTTTTATTTATTAGACAAAAAATTCAAATCAAAATTTTTAGATAAAATTATGGTTCCTTTTTGGGTACACAATTATTAAATCTATAATTAAATATACATTCTTTTAAATTTAGATTTTTAGTTTTATTTTAATATCGTTCGTTTTTTTAAATTTAAAAATATAACAAATAACAATCTTTTTTGAATGGAAATTTTTTCATTCTTTTTTTGATAGACTTTTTATTTGATTGATTGCCCCTTTCCCTTAATGATCGGACCTTTTCCTAAATCTTTGTAACTTCTTGCCTTTTGATCGGACCTTATTAACTTCCTTTTTTTGATTGGAAAAACCTATATTTGATTTGTAAAACTAATGACTATAATGTAATTGGATATTCTTATAGGAACATTCAGGCAACTGAAATAAATTTTTTTAGCCGAAACTGGAATAGAATCGGAACGCAAAAATGCATGTTGTTACGGATCCCTGATCTAAAGCCTGAATTGAATTGGGCAAAGCCAAGTATAAAAGTTTAATGAATTGCCATTAATAAAATCTAAAAAACAAAATGGTGTTTTTGCTTCCTTTGTTGAGATTGATTAAATGATAATTACATTTTAGTGGAATTAGACCAAAGCAATTAGTGATTCCTTTTTTTATATATATTAGCTAACTTTATAAAAATTCGTTTAATTTATATTTTTTCTTAGAAAAATTGGAAGGACCTAAAATTAAAATAAATAATTGGGCTAAAAATAAAAACTTTGAGCCAGGCCGAGATTTAAAATTTTAGAACGAGCTGAGCCGGGCATCTGTATGGGTCAAAATTCGGGCCTGCTTGCAGGGCCCCATATTGTTATTAGGAGGGTTTCGTATCATAATTATATGTATATCTAAAAATCTTACGTATATTTATCAGGAAGTATGATGTAACCGAATTCTTTCGTAGAATAAAGTATTAGGTCCTCAGATAATCGGCTTAAATGGATTCCCACAATTGATGCCCAATATAATATGTCCACTTATAATAATAATTACAAGTTAAATTTTATCATTTTGAAGTGAATATAAATATTAAAAAAATTCCAAAGATATCAACCGTGTTGACTTATTTCCGCTTAATGATGCATAAACTATGTTTTCTAATTAATAAACAAGTAATATTAAAAATTTATAGTCATATTTGAAATATAAAATTCGTTAAAGCATTAATCATGTCACATAGCCTCAAGAGCTTTGAAGAATATTATATTATAAACATCTAATATTCATTTATATTAACTTATAAAATCTCGATCAGAAGTTGCATCCATACTATTTAAAGAACAATGTTGAAAATCTAGCTCTTTCGCTAGTTTAATCCTATCAAATCCTTTTAAAGGGTTTCCAGCTATTGCCCCACTGCCTAAAGAAAGTGTTGATATACCCCATGGTTCCTGACTGACAATATATTTTAATTTATCTAGATCCCGTTTAAAAGGCCAAGCATAACTCAAAATCCAGTGGCTAAAGGCGACAGGTTGGGCTCTTTGTAAATGAGTATAACCGGGGAATATCAAAGGTTTATTAGTTGTCTCATCTTTTGAAATTAAAATATATTGATTAGCTCGGTTTTTTAACCCCTGTAAAAGTAAGGATAGAATCAATGATAATTTAGGATACATTTCATGACGTATATACAATCGCATATCATTTGATACTTGATCGTTTCGACTTCTACCTGTATGAAGCTTGCCACCCGTTTCTGGTCCGATCATTTCCTAAATATATTTTATAAATTAATTTTATTGTATTAAATATAGATTTAATGTTCAATTTACTTGATTAAAAGTTATGTTTATTTAAATAAATTTCCCATAGGGAGTGAAATCATCCCCATAGATTTTATTGGGGCTTTAGACCCCCCTATAACTTTAATCTTGATCATTTATAGCAACTGAAGCATAACTTCTATAAAGTAAATTTATTTGCTAAAGTGACCAAACCATTTATTTTCGCTGAAATGAATTTTGCGATAAATTAACCCTAATCCATATATCGGGTCTTAGCCCATAGCCATGGGCTGTTTAGGCAAAAAAAGAGATCATTAGGGCACAACAACTAACAAAGTTATCATATTAATGTTCAAATATACAAGTAAAATGTTGCATGAAATTTTATTTTTAAAAAATTTAGAACAATTATTCAAAAAAAAAGTTCTCAAATTTAATGTTCAAATTAAAAATGTAATAAATTTCTTTTTAAACAATTGGTTCACACACACCTTATTAATAGTTAAAAATATGATACAAAAAATTAAATATATAATTATACTTTTAATCTTCGTTCAATAGCTGTATGAATATCTTCATCGGACAATTGTATAGCAAATTTTTCATTCTCCCATTCATCATAAATATTGTCCAATCCTTTTTGAATTTCGTTCTCTTCTTCTTGAGTTAAAAGGTTTATATCCTTTAAACCCTTGGCATATGCTTTACTGCCCTTAATTATAATGAATTTGAAAAAGAGTATTAAAATTATAATATAGAGTTGAATTCTCTAAAATTAGGTCTTATTTAAATAAAACTAAATTTAAAATATTTTCTTTACATTCAAATGCCCTCGAAGTCGTGGGATTTAAAATTATTAAAGAAAATGAAATTAATCTTCTTGGTTCATCTTTAAGCAGTTTTTCCAGGCTGGGTAAAAATATCGCAAATAATGTATAAAAAAACGTATAGTTGCGATATATATGAACATTTCAATGCAGTAAAGGGCTCTTTTTTTTATCATTAAAAACATTTTAAGGCATTAAAATTGATTGTTTTAAGAATAAATAAATTTTTATAAAAAAAATATTCTTCAAATATACATTTACTAATAAATCAATTTAATGCCTTAGCCGCACTAAGTATAATAGAAAAGTAAATAAATAGAAGAAAAATATTAGAAAAATTTAATCATTTCGAAATATTAATTTTAAATTTTCTACTGGACATAAGATGATCAATATTTTAAAAAAATTTTAATGCCCCCCCCCCTTCTTAATTATCAATTATTGATTTAGTTATTAATATTATAATTTTTAATTTAAAACTATTTATTTAATATGAGTAAAAGTAGTGATGCAAAATTGATCCACTCAAGCCGACTCTGTCTCGAGGCATTTATTAGTCTAAAAAAAGTAGAATTTTTACCTTTCTCTATCATCTCAGGTAAAATAAGCTAATGAGCTAAAATTTCGTTTCAGATATTACTAGAACATATATAACGTGTCTACTTTTATCGAAATTGAAAAAAGGCATTTGATTTGACATGGAATGACCCCACATAAGAACATGGAGCTTATCAGGAATTAAATTATTAGTAAGAAAATGTTAAGATATCTTAAAAAATTACAGAGGATCCTGAATGGAACCCGGCCTTATACAAAAAAAAATTAGTACTAAAAGTACCTATCAAAAATATGGATCCCAAATATCAACCATTTTAGCCAATACCGATACCCAAATCGATATTACTGTTACTAACATGGTATCGACCTATACCAAAAATAACTATTTATTGGTGAAAAAAAGGAAAGTTATCATTTTTATTTTATCATTAAATATTTTAAAATATATAGAAAATAAAGATTATAATAGCATCTCGTTCTTTTTGTCGGTTTAGTATATAATTTTTTTTATAAATTCGTAACATAATGTTGATTAAAAAATTTTTTAAAATTTATGAGGGTTAAAATTCTCGTTTTTGAGTATTATCTACTGGTATCGGTTAAGATTTAAGGCATATGTCGATATAGTGATCAAGTATCGGTGCATCTCGGCAAAATGCTAACTATTAAATAATCCTTCAAAGTCGATTCTTATATTTTTTACAATATAAGTCATTCCATAATTTTTTCACTTAATTCAATCTAGCCGAATTCCATTGTATTCAGTATTTGGCTGGGTTCGATACTGGTTCCTATATAATTATTTAAATATCTCAACTCTTCATACTTTGAATTTAACAATAAAAATACGTATTCTGACATCCCCATGTTCTATTTAACGCCGTTCTTATCTGATGAGATGAAAATAACTCAATTAATTTTTACTTTTATATCCACTCGCCATAATCTTTGATCAGTATTTATTGAAGAATTAAGTTTTTCCAACACAGGATCAATACAATCATCAAATCTTCCGCCCCATAATTTAGCCATTGAATAAATCTATTAATATTTAATACATTTAATATTATTATTTTTTATAGATTTGATGATTTAGTTAGAGCAGTCTCAGAGGAGTAATGCAATAAAAATTTTACAACTCACCCAGCCTTTCATTAAAAATATTGGTTATATAAATAATTTCTAGAAAAAGTGTCCCCAACCTCTCAAGAAAAAAATGACCGAAGGATTGACCAGCAAGAAATGAAAAATAACCAAAAGAAATTTTTATACTCGATGATTTGAATTAATAATGGTTCCCCATCCAATTTTAAAAAAATAATTAACTACTTAGCCAACGGTCCGGTGGCAATTATTTTTTGGATCTAAACTCAGCACGGCCCGAATTTTAATAAAAGCTTATAGAGAAGAAGTTTTAAACTCCGAATATTTATCTTTTTTAATATTATGCATTAAATTTAAATATTCAACCATAACTTTAATAATTTAATGATTATTTATTTCTATTTTTTACAAAATATGATAGAAAATGAATATTAAATATTCACCATTTTGTAATTTCTTTTAAATTTAAACTTTTCAAATGTTTTCTTTTATTAAATTAAAAAAATAATTATTATAATTTATTTGGGATTTTGACAAAGCAATTCGCAATTTATATTTATTTTACTTTATAAATATCGGTCAGTATTGGTAATGGCCGACACCTTCAATTTTAGTCGATACCCAGTGACGATTCACAAAAATGAAAAATAACCACAATTTTTTTAAAAAAATTGGTATATTTACCTTATAAATTTATAAAAAAAAATTACAAAAATTTCTAAACCGATAAAAAGGAAGGATTTAATTTAATTTTTTAAATTTAATAAATTAATCGTAAATGATAAGTAAATAAAAAATGATAAGTAAATTTTAAAAAAAATGATAAATAAATAAAAAATTAGAATATTGACGAGTGGTCTTCATTGCCGAAGTGCTGAAAGATAACTATATGGCATTCATTTTCTAAGAAAGAATATTTTAGACGTTTCCTGAGGCCGTAATTTAAGAAAGGGGTTGATTTAATTTAGCGAACAAGTTTATACAAGCATATTTCCAAATTAGAGGTTGTCCACTAGTAATAGCATCTAGTCTAGCCATTTATAACCATTATGATTGAAATAAATATGCCCCAACATAGTTTACAACTTTTTAGAGTTAAGGACTATGTGTGAAAAATGTGAAATTTATTTAGACTTTAACCAGGATAGAAATTGTTTTAAAATATTTCATAATAAATAAATATATATATTTTTTATACATGCTTTGAGCTCAATGATATCAAATTGTATCATGATTTTTTTTACCTGATATAAATGAAGATTTTTTATAAAAAAAAAATTTTAGTTTTATTTTAAAAAGTAGAGCTTTAAAGGGTTAATTTGTTTATTTTGTTATTGTAAAATGTTTATTTTATTATTATATTTATCAGAGACCTGCAGGCCCGGCCCTAAGCCTGGCAATATACCCGGGCCGGGCCATGCCTAAAAAAATTTTTTTTAAACATATCCTGGCCGGGCCTATAAAAATTTTTTTTAATATATCCGGGCCGGGCCTAAGATTGTTAAACCCGAGCCGGGCCTTAATATTTTTTATAAAAAATTTTACATTATGAGTTAATGGTTATAAGATTATATTATATTATAGTTATGATTAATATAATATTGGGTGATGGTTAACACTACCTAACACCCACAGATCGATCTAATTATTAATTTCCTGCAAATTTATTCAAAGTATTAATATATTTTTTTATAATTCATATCTAAATTTTTACAACATATTTTACCAAAACAATCTAATAAAGGAATATCTTAAATAAGCCCCAATATTCAAGTATTATTAATATATTTTTTTATAATTCATATCTAAATTTTTAGAATATATTTTACCAAAACAATCAAATAAAGGAATATCTTAAATAAGCCCCAATATTCAAGTATTTTATTAATATATTTTTTTATAATTCATATCTAAATTTTTAGAATATTTACCAAAACAATCAAATAAAGGAATATTTAAATAAGCCCCAATATTCAAGTATTATTAATATATTTTTTTATAATTCATATCTAAATTTTTAGAATATATTTTACCAAAACAATAAAGGAATATCTTAAAAACCCCAATATTTATGTATTTTATTAATATATTTTTTTAGAATTCATATCTAAATTTTTAGAATATTTACCAAAACAATCAAATAAAGGAATATTTAAATAAGCCCCAATATTCAAGTATTATTAATATATTTTTTTATAATTCATATCTAAATTTTTATAATATTTACCAAAACAATCAAATAAAGGAATATCAAGGCACAAAATACTAATGATATAATTAATAAAATTAAAAATAATATTTATTATTTTAGAAATACAAATAATAATTTAAAATCTGAAATATGGGCTAAATTTAACATCATCATAGATGAAAATAAAAAAAACATTGGCTACGTACAATGTAAGAATTGTTCAAGTATATTATCTTATAATTATAAACATGGTACATCACATTTAGAAAGACATAAATGTGATGGTAAATCCATGAAAATTAATAAAAAAAATTTTACACCTGAAAAACCAACCTATAAATGTAATATAAAATATTTTTAAAAAAAATTTATAGATCATTCCTTAACACTTTGCGCAAAAGATATTAGATCTTTCGAAATGATAGCTGGGAATGGGTTTCTTGAATTCAGCCAGGCTCTAATCGATGTTGGGGCAAAGTATGGTAAAATAGATATCAACTCATTGATTTCACATCCCACCACTATATCACGCCACCTTAAAGAAAACTGTAATAAAATAAGAAACATTTTGGTTGATACTATTGCCCCAGTAATCAAGAATCGATTTATGGCTGCTTCCACTGATATATGTTGCGATGACCATAAAAAGAACTCGTTTATAACAGTTAACATGCACTATATATCAGATGACTGGAAGTTAGTGAAGAGAAACCTATTTACTGCTAAATTTAAAGAAGTGTCAAAAACTAGCAAAGTAGTTAAGGATGAACTATTAAAAAATTTTCATAATTTTAATTTTAACACTAACGATTTTATTAATATAATATTTGTTACAGACCAATGTAAAAATATTATAAAAGCATTGGAGTTAAATGAACGATTAAATTGTTCTTGTCATATATTAAATACAATTTTAAGAAATTCATTTAACTTCAAATTTGGAAAGTAATGCCCCATTAATAAAATCAACAGTAGATAATACTAAAATATTAGTGGGGCATTTAAAACAAAGTAATAATAAATGCTAGCATTTGAAAGCCCTTTATCAAGATATAGAAGTCCGCTGGAACTCAAATACAATATGCTCAATTCTGTTTATTCTCAAAATGAAGAAATTATAAAAGTTTTTCAAAAACATGGGGGATCGGAAAAGTATTATATTATAGACTTTCCGATCCTTCAGGATCTAGTAAAAATTCTTGAGAATTTTAACAGAGCTATTGTTGAGTTACAGTCGGACTCTTGTACTCTTTGTAAAGTGGTAATTTGGTATTATGAACTTCTTGAAGTTTGTAATACCTTTCAAGAAAAAGGAGAAATAAAATTGATTTTACTTAATATAAAGCATTTTTTAATTAAAAAATTTGTTTTACACAAGTATCATTTTATTTATCTTTTTCTCTGTCCCAAATTCAAGCAATTACGTATGTTGTCAGGGACAGATCGCAAGATGACGGAAAACTATATAAAAGATTATATTAAATTACAAGAGGCTCAGGAAGTAAATGAAATACCATCGACCAGTCAAATTACGACTGTTGTTAAACAAACTGAATCGTTTTATGACAAATGGGGCGATGGTAATTCTGGTAATATGTCAATACCCGATGATGAATATTATAATTACATAAATAAAAAAATAGATGAAACATTTAAGGTGGATAATTTGTTAGAGTGGCGGCTCATCAAAGCGAATTTCCAATTTTAGCAAAATTGGCAAAACGGGTATTGGCAATTCCTGCTTCAAGTGCAAGCTATGAGCGGAATTTTTCCACTACTGGGAGAATTCTTGAAGAAAGAAGTAATCTTCAACCTGAAAAGGTAGATATGCTTCTCTTTCTTTATGATAATTTGTGAATTTTTAATATCTTTCTTGAGTATAGGGTTTCGTAGTGTTATTAAACGGCTCATTTTGAGCCGATTTTTTAAAACGGCTAACTCAATATTTTAGCCAGAAAAATATTGCCTAAGTTTCGAGATTTCTATAATATATGCCTAGACCTTTGTTCCTTCTATGAGCAAAATCTTGAGGCTTGCGTAAAATTTTTCTAGACGAAATATTGAGTTAGCCGTTTTTAAAAATCGGCTCAAAATGAGCCATTTAACAACACTAGGGTTTCGTCAATCATGCTGGTTTTTTACTTTGCAAACTGTCAAATATTTATTGCATTTATTATATTTTACCTTGAGTCATGAAAGTTTTTAATCCAACATTTTTTATTATTTTTTTTTACAATATTATATAATACAATTATCTTCTTTTGTTAAAAATGTATATTATAAAATAAATTATATTAATATTGTGCAATTATATTATATTTTCAAAATACTATTTATTATACATGCATTTTTTTAAATAGCGATTTATTTTTATTTTATAAATTAAATAGTAAATTAAATACAACATATTATATTCTCAAAATATTTTCCATTTTTATAAATTAAATATTAGTTTTATTTTTTTTAAATGCAATATAAAATATAGTATATGCTCAAAATATTATTACCATTTTTATGAATATTAGTTTTATTTTTATAAATGCAATATAAAATATAGTATATGCTCAAAATATCCATTTTTATAAATAACAGTTTTATAATTTTTATAAATTTAATATAATATTCTCAAAATATTAGCTTTTTACATGTATTTTTTAAATAATAAGCGATAATACTCGCTGAAAAATATGGTAAAATACCTCATAGGTGAATTGTATATACCAGGTCAAATATAATTTTAAATAATTCCGAGCCGGGCCTGAAATTTTTAAATCCGGGCCGGGCCTGGCCGTAAAAAATTTTTTTTTAAATATCCGGGCCGGGCCTAAAAAATTTAAAACCGGGCCGGGCCGTGCAAATGGTGCCTCTGCAGGTCTCTGATATTTATTATATGAATTTGAATAGAAAAAGAAAATGCGATTTGATAAACGAATAAAATAAAAAGTTATACATCAAGAATTACTTTTAACAAATACAACTTCAGATTATCAAATTTTTTGAAAATATAACTATTATTTTATTACTTTATATTTGTATATAAACAGGAAAGATAAATAAAATATCTATAAAGATAGTAAATTCTAAAATATTTGAATAATAATTTTAAATCGAGATTCAAAATCCAATAAAGATATATGTAAGGTGTAACGTTGTAGTTTTTATTTAGAAACTCGGTTTTTGGTTAGTGACTTAAAACTGATTAATGAATTTTAATAAATAATAAGTGGTAATTAAGCAATAAATATTGGCGCAACCCAGATATTATTTTCACTAGTAAGGATCAAAGTTAACTTATAAGCGTTATAATTAATATGGTGCGATTCTTATGAAAGGCATAAAATAGGGTAGCTTAGAAAATTATATTCAAATTGCAGAGTTGTTAAAGGATCGAATCCTTTGTCAATTTTCTCGGATTTAAGATCCTGACCTTAAATTGTGAATCGTGATCGAGATCATTTTTTTAAATATTCAATCCCGATCCTTTTAAAAATTATTTTTTAACTTAAAAAGCAATAAATATAAAAATTTTGAAAATTAAATTTAAATATCATTAAAAAAAAATATCTATCTACATCATATTTTATCAAACCATTCCACCTGATTTATATTTCACAAATTTTTTGTAAGAACAAGTTATATTTATTATTAATTATATTATAATATAAATTCTAGGTTTTACTAATGTCCTCCATTATAGATTTAGAAGATGATACATCTACTTCTATTGATATGACAGCAGATATAAGTGAGAATGAGAATCTTTTACCATTTCATAATTTACATAAGTATTTTACTTTATGTGAAATGGATGGAAGTAACCATACAATGATCTATGTAAAATGCTCTATATGCAAAAACAAAATACCTTCTTCAAAGATTAGCAGTTCAAACCTAAAGAGGCATTTAGAAGTAATAAATTCTTTTAAAAATACAATTTTTATTATTTGTGAAGATCATAACAATATGCATATAATAAAAATTATAGATTTCCTTCACTATATGATGACAGCAATATATTGGCATCAATAATTCACCCAAAATTTAAGTTCAATTGGCCTTTTATTAATCTGCCACAAAAGTTGCTAAAAGAAAGGTTAATTGCCCATTTAGAAAATATACAGGGTCAACCATATGCAGATCCTTCAAATGAATGCATGGATCGATACCTTTTTGGGAGGAAAAACTAGTCACAAAATGCTATTTCCATTTTTTTTATTCTAATGATGATTCCGTGAATATTTAATAATTATGTTAATTAAAAAAAAACATTTATTGAACCTTTACCATCAAGCGCTCCTATGGAGAGCTTGTTTAGTAAAGCTAAACATGTACTTAATGGAAAACGTGGCTGTTTTAATGATGATAATTTAGAAAAAATTTTATAATTAAAGGCTAATTTAATTATAAATAAATATATTCTAATTGTTATACATTCAATTACAATAAATTTATACCATATTTATTTTTTTTTATATTAGTTAATTTTGCATCGATCAGAAATTTAAATAAGAAAAGGATTGTGATCCTTTTTTTATAAAAAGGTCGATCCTGAATTTTGATCCTCTTTTTTTCAAAAGATCGTGATCGGGATTCGATCTTTTTAAAAGGAACGATTAAAAGGCCTGTCCAATTGTAAATTTTCTAAACCAAAAAGCCATTAGACACGTTACTGTACAGCACTAAAAAAATACATAAATAAGTCAACTGTTCATATTACAGGAGATCTTCACTTTTTTATATATAGTTGTTACTTTAATATACTTTACAAAATAAGTTTCATTTTATTCTTTATGGCAGTTACAAATCAAGTGGTTTTATTCCAAGTGTTAGGTATCGTGCAAACTTAATTTATATTGACCAATTTAAAAAAAAATACATTATCTTATTGATCACTTTAAAAAAACGTTATTTTATTATATTTTTCAGAATTGATATATTTTATTTTTACAGTTTTAATTTGTACTTTTTTGTAATTGATCTTTCTTACTTTTTTTAATAAAACAAATAAAAAAAATAAAATTTAATTTATTTATAAACAAATACTGTTTTTAAAAATTATTATTTAGTTAAATAATGTCAAAATTTTTAATGTGAGGAAAATTTTTAAATTGTGGGAGATTTAAATTGCAGATTAAAAGAAAAGGTTTCCTTGTGTCAATAAAAAATTTGTGGAAGACTCCAGCTTATAGGAAAACCTGGAAACCTTCAACAAAATTAGAACTATAATAATGATGAAATTAAGAATACAAATCAATTTTATTTATTGAAGTTTTTTCAAATAAGCCACTGCTGACTTATATCTTGTAGAGCTATTTATTAATTTTTTTGCAAAATAACAGATAGTTAGACTGTATTAATAAATAAAATTTTGATAAATATCTTATACAGGAAAATATAGATTGGCTTCTATATAAATGCTATAAAAAATTATATTAAAATTATTAAGATTTCTATTCAATTTTTATTTACAATTCTATCTTGATTCCTAACTATTTAATATCACAATTAATTTTCGAATATACATTAAAAATAATTTTAAATTAGTTGATATATTATTTTATAATAAAAAAAAAGCATACATTGGTCTCAGAATTAATTATGGATATAATGAAATAATATTTCTGTCACTTCTACATGACATATTTTTCTATCAGCTGATGTATTATATAAGATCGCCTGTCAGAATTAACAAGGTATTTTTGAATAGATACTGCCAAATTTGTTTATTAAAAATCATTATTTTCTAAAAACATCAGTGATCTAGCCTATAAGACCATACATTACCACTATGGTTTTAGTTCTAGGTTCGAAACCCATGAGGATCATTTTTTTTCTGAAATCAATTTGGTGATTTCGTTTTTAAGAGGATGATATAATATATAGCAGAGACCTACGGCAGGGTAGTATTTTAATTTTTTTTAAATGTACCTCAGAAATAAAAAATTTTAATACCCAAACCGTGTCGGACCTAAAAATTATTTTATAAAAAAATACATGGGCCAGGCCCAGCGTCTACATGACAGAATTTTCATTGGATGCAAACCCCCTTCAAAAACCTTAGCCTACCCCCCTAAAAAATTTTGCCATCTTTGGGCGGCGATGTTTCTCCATTATTATTTCCACTTTTTAAATTATAATGATGATCTTTTCAGAGAATTTATAAAGGATAACTTAAATTTATCTATCTCTACTCCCAACTATCAATATTTTGTAAATATAAGGATTTATTTTTTAGATAATAAATTCAATTAAAACCTCCATTATTTACAATGAATTCATTATAGCATTATGAGCTTGCTGAAATATCTAAACCTTTTAAATGCAGGAAAACAATGTATATGATTGTTTGCAATTGCAATATATAGATTTGGTCGATGAATTGTATAGTTCTATAATAAAAGTATTAATTTCTACAGCAATAAATTTGTCCTATTTCATCTCAAATTTAATAGATAACCCCCCAAAAAATTTATCCTACCCCCATTAAAGCCGCCTCCCTCAACACTCCTCAAAAAAATAGGATCCAAACTGTTCCTACCCCTCCCGCTCATGTAGACGCTGGCCAGGCCGTATATTTTAAAACCAAATATTTTAAATCACCATTATTAGCTATAAAAATTAAAAATAAATATAATATATTTTAAAAAACTGCAAATTTTTTTAAAAAAAATATGGGCCAGACCTGAAAATCTAAACACGGGTCGAGCCAGGCCAAAAACTTTTTTAAAAAAAATCCGTATTGGCAGGTCAATGCAAATGGTACCTCTGAAGGTCTCTGATATATAGTAGATGGGACTCAAGCACATGATTCCGTTAATATATATTTAAAAAATAAGTGAGTCTTATTCAAATGCATTTCATCAATCATCATTAGTCTTATTACTTTTTAATAAATATTGGTCCATGTTTATCAAATTAGATTGTTATTTAGAAAATTGCTAAAGTTGACTTGTCAGTATCTATCATTTTTATACGGCTTTAATCTTTCTCGATTTTTTTATGTGTTTGTCAATATAATTACATAGATTATACTTAAATTCAAAAATTAATTATTCTAAGGGGGTGCTATAAGTGCTGATTTTAAAAAAAATATATATAATTTTTTTTTAAATTCATCTATAAATAAAATTAAAGGAGAGAAGCTTCTCAGAAGACATTGTTATACAATAATAAATTAATATAAACTCAATAATAAATTTTCCCTATTTTTATTGGGCCTACAGTTTTTAAGAATCAATTAAAATAACAAAAAGAATTAGTTTTCGGAATTGAAATGTACGATTATATTAATATATTTCACACTTTTTTTAGAAGTATTTTATCGTTTATTTTAAAAAATAGCTTTATGTGATAAATTTTCTAAAATTAAAGACACGCATCCATTAGCCGTTTTTATCTAATTTAAATCAGAGACCTGCAGAAGTATCATTAGGATTTTTTTGGTTTTAGCCCACCCCGGATCGGGTTTTATATTTTCAAGCCTGACCCGGCCTGAATATTTTTTAAATTATATAAGAACATCGGCTTTGAATAATGAATTTTCTATGATTTTATTTTTTTTTGGTGACATAGATTTGTATCGATTAAAGAAACAATTAACTAAATGTCTAGCTTTTGAATTAACCCATATCTTTGACAGTTGCAAAGTAGATATATGTCTAAGCCAAAACAAAAGATTACGATCAATAAGCATAGTCAATTTGAATAGTTCTAACTAATAATTTTTTTTAAGTTATCAAAAATACGATGTATAAAAAATCAAATTTTTTATTGTGAATATTAATAAATTCTTTATTTATATTTTATAAATATTGTCACATCTGTACAAATTAATAAATATATAAATATGAATTTAAAAACATTTTAAATCTTTAATTTCTTCACTTTCTTTGATATATTTTTTTGAAAATATTTTATTCGCCACGCAAGGATTCCTTTTTAGTATTTTGATATGTAGAATAGAAATTTGAAAACCAGACCAGCCCGGTAACGTCAGGAAAAAAAATTGCTTTGACCGAGAAAATTTTGTTTGTATATATAATTGATGAATTTTCATATTTCCTAAGTGATAGTCATAAAGTACAGTGTTTTTAATTTAACTACTCTCCAATAAATTTCTGTTTATTCCGAATCCAACTAAACCTCCATTGTGAATGTCGTTGCGGAGAAATTTTAGAGCGAAAGTAATATTGCAAAACCTATTCCTCATAAATTTTTCTGCGAAACATTTATATAGAAGATTATATCGTCAATTTTTTAATGTGAATTTATTGTGGCCAAACTTGAACCGAGCGAATACACTTTAGCGAAACTTTTATAGATTCAGCGATTTTTTCTACCGCGAATGTATTTGCGCGTAGTCATTATAGCGAGAACATTACCGAGAAACAAAAAATATATAACAAATGAATTTATTAAAAGAAAAAGAACATATTAAATAATAATTTACCAATATTCATTCATTAAATCATAAATGCGAAGTGTTTTAAGTAAATTTTATTACTTATTGAGTTAAGTATGCTTATGACTTTTATCAGATATGATAAAAAAATTAATTATCTTTCTCACTTGGTGTCATACTCATAGGTATAGAGGCGGCATTTTGGATTCAGTTTTTTTACCCAATCAGTTAACCACCTGACTGACGTTTTAGCGACGTTTATAAATGTCACTTCTAGCGATATAATGTTGATATCAATCGATAATTATTAATTATATTATTCGCAGATTGATTTGATTTATTACATTATTGATCTCGATTTTTTATATATATTCGATCTATAAAATATTTTTATTAAATTCCATAATATATAATCATTAGAGATATTAATCATCAATATCAGAACTCTATTATTATTAAATATTTGCAAGCTCACAATACAGTGCCAGAATTTTGACATTGATACAGAAGGGAGGTTAGTAATCAGGCTTTTAGATTTTCAGTTTAATTGCAAAAGGAAAATATTTATGAATAAATGTATTACTAATCCATGATATCCTTTTCTAAAAATAAATAGCTTTCCGACAAAGGAACAAGAATTATGTAGTGTTGGAAGATATAAATTAGGGAATATACATGGAAAATATATAGAAGCGGTGTAATGACGCAAATAAGTGTGGAAGATGGAGGGAATAATTGTAATAGGTGGATATGTATATAATTTAACAATACATTATTTAATAAAATGATTAAAATATCAGGGAATTATTAGGAATTAAGAGGATTTATATAGAGAAATAAATTTTACGTTATGTTGTAGTTTTATCAGGGTGATCAATTAATTATTATTAGCTTGCACATAAATTTTAGTTGTAACTAATTAATAATTTAGAAAAATATTTGATAAACTAAAAAATCGAAATATTAGATATGATAAATAAGTTGTTATTCATACATAGAAACTGATTACAGGAGCGTAGCTGGGCCTTTACAATCTCAGGGGGCTCAACTAACAAAATTTTTATTACGGGCCTTCGACACGCTTTTGCCCGGTCTTCGGCCGGGTTAAATATTTATATATTGTACTTTTTTATAATTTGCTAACTCTTAACAATTATTTTGAATTTAGAATTTTGTCATTTATTATATTATACATACAAAATAAACTAGCATATACACAATTAAGACAATAAAATACATTTTTAAAAATAATATTTTTTTAATACAAAATCTATTTATTACAGTATAAAATATTTTCGATTGCTGATATAAAAAAATTTTGCGTCTAAAAAATTACAAGTGATAAAAAAGGTTAATTAATTCATACAAATACCTCAATTGATAATGGTTTTTAAAACGATGTAAGGCAATATAATTCTTAGCAACTTACAGAAAGGTCATGAAACTATCTCTTACCATTTTAGACAATGTTTTATAGAATGGACTAATAAGGAAAAATTTATAGGCCTAAACCAAATCAACAATTCTTGAAGAAGAGAGTATAAACGACCAATCCAAATCATAAAAATATATGGTGGTTAGAGCTTCCTTTTAGATGGCATGATGAAATCTAGATAAGTAATCGAGAAAATTATTGTGAAATATTAAATTTATAAAAGATTATTTTTCATTTTAAATGATATATAAACGACTACATATTGACCATTATTGTTTATCTAAAATATGCTATCATATGCTCTTAGCAGATGTAGTAATAAGCTTAAATTACATAGCAACACAAATAATAGATGCTGGTTAATTAGCAGTAATAGCCATGACACTCACGATGTAAACTAATATCAGAATTTAATATGTTGAAAAAATTGATAAAATAAAAACACTAAAAAACTTTGGAAGAAATAATTATGCAAATATATTGAAGCCTGGAGTTATTTACACGGTAAGAATGTCATATTAGAAATGAATTTTCTAACTAAAAAATAAGGACCAGAATGGTATGATGAAACAATTAATATTTTATATATTGTCGCACCACCTCTAGTTGGTATATTATATCTTAAAATAATAGAAGTTTGTAATAATATCAAAAATATATAAAAATTTTAATCAAAACTTGTTTTATTTGGACCGATGGGTCCCCCAGTCTGAGTGGGAAAAATACAGTCCGTGATCGGGGGTCCGGGATGGTCGATGACGGGATCCAGGGGGCCGGGTTTTATCGATTTTGTCATGG